TGAAACTAATATAAAGAACACAATTCATTAAGCTAATTCAAGCTACTAAACATAAAACTAATATAAGTACCACAATTCAACAAAACTACTAAACATTAAGCCAATAAACATAAACTAATTTTAAACGTAAAGTATCAAACTATTAAACATGAAACTAATATAAAGAACACAATTCATTAAGCTAATTCAAGCTACTAAACATAAAACTAATATAAGTACCACAATTCAACAAAACTACTAAACATTAAGCCAATAAACATAAACTAATTTTAAACGTAAAGTATCAACTAAGAAGCGTTTTATTAACACATTCATCAATAAGAAACTTAGACCATTTGTCTCTAACTTCATCAATCTCTTTTTTGTTGTAGGGTAATCTTCCTTGTCTTTTCAAAGCCTACAAAGTTCAAAAGAAATAAAATTAATAAATAAGCAAGTATTTTTAAACATTTGAAGCCAAAAGATATATTAAGAAATTACTTGCCTTATCCATTCCTTTGCTTAGATTGTTGGAAACAATTTCCAACATGAACTTCATCACATAATAACCACATTCGGTGGTTCCCTTTTGTATAGCACACTACATTGAATTACAATAAAAATAAAATAAATTAATAAAAAAAACAATAAGTTTGCATGTTTTACAAAGTGAATGAAGTACTTACCGAACATATAGTCCATTTTGGTGAACGATTTTGTTTCTTTCCACTCATCATGTTTGTTGCAGTCATACACCTATTAATATAAGACATAGAATATATATAAATACTTGGCATCACTAGTTTAATGATAACTACTAATTAATTATATAAATTTACATACGTTTCCATTATATGTTTAATGTCTTCACGCGGCCCATGACCAAGTGAATCAAACCAAAAAATTTCATTTAGTCGAGGACAAATCGCCATCAACATCCAATGCTCACTACAAATAAATAATTTATTAGTTTTAAGTGAATATAAATATAATAAAAATATATTATATATAAGTACTTTTATTTAAAACGTAATTAATACTTACTTGAGAACATATGGGGCTAAGTATACAATTTCTTCCCCGACTGAATGGTGGCATTTATATATGATTTCCTGTCTTCCATATTATTCATTTGTGGTTGAATCCAATATGGATCTAGGAAGCCATACGTGTCTTTTGATGCCAACTCAAAACTAATGTAAATACCCCTATTCACAAACACAACCAATTATATATAGATTACCAACTATATAAATATAAAACTATTATAAATAAATAATACTAAAAAACTTATTACCTCATAAAGAACTGAACTAGAAAAACATCGATGGTCTCCATTTTTAAGAAACGCATTATCTCATCACTTAGAAGGTGCAAGTCATAGTCAATGTTGCCCATAATACCACGAGCCACATGGACCACAAGAAGGTGTTCAAAACGGCGAGCTATTGAAAAGGCCTTTTTGCATCCATCAGTCAAAGAATCATCATCAGGTATAGTGAATTGTTGATGAACGGATTGCACACCCGAATGAAAAGTCAATTTGGTCTTTTCTTTTGACTGTGAATTATAATACAAGTAAGAATTATTATTTTAAAAAGTAAATTACTTACTATTTTAAAATAGAAATATTTTCAGTATACATACCACATCAGCTTTAGTACATAACTCTACCAGCTTCTTTGACCAAGCAATAAAGTGTTGAATTGCATCACCTACAAGCTGAACCTCACTGGTGGGGATTGGTACATGTGCACTTGGATCACTAACTTCATTTACGCTCACCTTCACATGATTTATATCCAGTACAACCCCATGAACCTGTCCACCACTGTAAGCTGTAATGTTCATACACATATGCCACTGGACGTCTAATTGGATCTTCTAAGAACAGTTGACATCGTGCCCCTAACTACAATAATTTTTAATTAAAAATCATATAAAATTTTATTGATAAATAATAA